TTTCCTTCCCCTTACTTTTATTTATCGCCGTGGTTGGCAATCACCCACTCTCTTAACATTGGCCGGTGTTTCCACCGAGTCTTGAGATGTTGTAATAATATTATATGTAGGACTCAGTATAGAGTCCATGCACTATATTATGATGTCCAGCACCCTATATAGAGTCCATTGGTCCAAAATCCACTGTACAGAGTCCAGGAGTCCACTCAGTTTTGATCAGCTTCATCCTGCCGCGCAATCGCCTATAAGGAGTACACATTTTCAACAAGTCCCCTATTCACGGTCCAGGAGTCCAGTTTATCCAGTCACGCCGTCCTGTACTGTTGTGTGTTGTGCCAAAAAGGGAACAAACACCTTTTCAGTTTTACTTGCCTCGTGGCAGCGCATTCCTTTCTTCACTTCAGCCATGGCTGCCAGTTCTGCTGTGCAGTTGCTGACAGTAATCTGTCTCGAGGTAACCAAGGAGGATAAGGAGACGTTCAAAATCAAATCTGGAAAGCGTCTTGTGGTTCTCGGAAGACGTTTCATCAGTGCGCGGGATGAAAGCAGAAATTGCAGAACGAGAAAAGTTCAGCACAATTCAAATCTGACGAGTCGGGTACACCGACACTCTCTTTCGTTCGACGCCACAAGGATCCCCTGTTTGGCTGGCCATTGCTGCCAGTAAGACGTTTGAACAGTTTCATCAGAGCGTGGGATGAAAGCAGAAAGCGGAGAACTTGTGTGACGAGAAAAGTTCAGCACAGTTCAAACCTGACGAGTCAGATACACTGACACTCTCTTTCGTTCGACCCCACAAGGATACCCTGTTTGACTGGACAAGAGTTGCCTGTACCACCGTGTCAAAAGGCTGTCCAACTACATGGCAGGACGATGACTGAGGTAAGGAAGCTTTTACTCGTTTCGATTGGTCTGCTGTTCTGTCGTAATAAAATAATATGCTTGAATTTTTTTCCAATTTCAAGGAGCGTATCGCGTTTGTTTGATATTGCTTGAATGAATGCCCTAAAAGTAATCAACCGCTTCGTAATAGTCCTCAAGGACTGCAAGGACTTTGCATCAATCGTATACGATCGTCTAGCTATCATCAATTATTACCCAATGCTGTAGACAGCAAGCTGTTTCGGCAAATAAAGGCCTCATCAGTACAGCTACGAGCTAAATAGGCCGAGCTACCAGCCATGGTGCAAAGGAGGCACCACAGACATTAACCCTTTGCATGCTGAGCCCCTTTTCTCCAATCCACTGGCTTTCCAGCGCACTGACTCTCTTGGTGGAGTATGCACGCACAGCTCCGAACGAAATTGTTTCTCATTTCACTCCACCTTGATGGATTTTCATTGTCATGGGCTCGTTGGAAAGATCAGGACCACGCGAATCCATCCTGGCAGCTCTCAGCTCCATAGACACATCTGGGCCACTTCCACGTCCTCTCCAAACTACTCCACCGTGCCTCGTAACGGCACAACAACTCAATTTCACATTATTGTTCGGCTTCTTGCCCAAATAATAATTAAACAGATTTTCACAATGCAAACTGCGCTGCAAAGCTCAGATCCAAGCTCTTCATTTGATGTCCATCACGCATGCGCCGTGCCAAAGGGAAATCCCCTGGCACGCTCCTCAACAAAAGAAGTCATGAACAAAAAGATTTGCGTTCACTCTGTGCCGTGATTTCCGTGTTCATCTTGTCGCCGCTCGAATAATTCTATATAATCCTATCGCGAAGAACTCTATATGCCCGGAAAGATGAGGTCAAGTCCTTTCCAACGGTGTATTGATTGTGGCGATGCGTTTATGTTTGACGAAGTTACGAAAGTTTGTACACTGGTCTATGCACTGCGTTATATCGCGCGATTTTTTTGCGAGTTAACTCGTACGAGGTCATGCATAAAGTGCGAGTTAACTCGTACGAGGTGATTCGTCATTATTTAACACGAAAGTTAAAAAGCCTTCCGTAGGGTTCGAGGTGCGAATCTTTGCATTTCTTCCTCCAAAAATGTAATACTGATGTCCTTAGATTGCAATGGTGGGTTGTTCATGCACATAATCCTTGGTGTTGGGAAGCAGGGGGCAGTTGAAAAATGGCAATTTTCCCGCATATTATTTGTTGTGCTCATTTCTTAACATCATGGTAAAATAGGCCTTAGCAGCACAATTTCAAGTCAGTTTTCAATAGAAAGAGACCCTACGTATCCAGGATGGTCCAGCAAGACTGGATCAAGATCATGTTGATCCAAATACAAGCCATTCAAGCTTGCATAGCAGTAGGTGTATCACCCTGATTTTATATGCAATTGTGATCAACATCTGTTAGTAAATTAAGGAATTGCAAATGTTTGGCCATTACCAGGGCCAACACACCGACATTCCTCCTTCTCAGGCGTCGTTTCCAGTATGTATCTATCATATGCTTCCTTTTCAGCTAAATATATTGTCACTGGAGGTTGAAACCAGCGGCTATGACTCTCTTATACTCTATTTTACCGTAAACATCTCGCACATGCAGACTGAAAGCTCTTGCAATGTCACTTCCTGAAGGAATATCAGTCTCAATATTAGAGGCGAACTTGACAGAACATTGACAATGGCAATGGCAAAAAGAAATTTGACGTGACTTTTTGCGGGCGCTGGCAATGAGATATTTTACCGATTTGTTAAGAAATGACGCAATGTTAAAAAAATTACGAATCACCTCGTACTCAGCATGCAAAGGGTTAAGGTAGCTCGTCGCTCTAGCGCCAGAGTGCTCAAACTACAAAAAGTAGCGGGCATTGCGTGATGCAGCAGCACTAGAGCAGCTTACTGAGAGTGCTCAACAAGGCGAAAGCCCAGGAGCATGATACCCAATGCTGTAGACAGCAAGTTGTTTGGCCATAAAGGCCTTGTCAGTACAGCTACGAGCTAAACAGGCCGAGCTACCAGCCATGGTGCAAAGGAGGCACCACAGACATTTATTATTTTATTTCATGAGAAATGTATTTTTATCCCTGTGATAATTATGTGAACTCCACGACACTCTTCCTCTACTTGGCTCTAGTATAGCATGATGTCAAATACAATGGGAACCACAAACGCAGTGCCAGTGTACTAGTAGTAGGAGGAGGAGGATTTCTTGTATGCCGATGACAAGAAAAAGCTTCTCAAGCTAATACATGTACTCGTATTCCATGAAGTAACCGTTTTGATGTCACAAACATGACATTGTGTCAATGAAACTGCCTTGTAACAACAAATCATTGCATTTCCATCTTGGGGAAGACTGACTGACGGCAACGCTGTACAGATTGTTCAAATCATCTCATTTCAATTTAGTTGCAGTGAAGTGAAACACTGTGTACACTACATGTATGGTGGTGTGTCTGTGCGTCTTGAGTGTGCACAAACGATCTTATTCCTCATATTACATAATAGATTATTGTCCCCACCGTCGTCTGTTCACAGGTCTTTGAGTGGATGGATTTTCATTGAGCATCACATTCGTAGAGAACTTGGTAGTTGTGTGTCCCATGCATCATTGCGGTAATAAGCGTATCCTTGTGCTATCTATTTGTTGCAGGTGTGCTGATCTTCAGAAGCTTGCAGAACTGAGTGCTGCTGAACATTTGCATGGCCATGAGCAATGGTGAAGCTTGCTATTGCAGTCTCAGCATGTGCTAGTATTATGCTGACTACTGCACTACGTTACTCTCTTACACTACTAGATGTCTACTACATGTATGTACATGTGCGCGCATCCGCCCACGTATGCATTCGTTTCGTATAATTATTTGTTATCCCTCTTGACTTTACATGTAAATGGGTGGACGTTTGCATGGCTGTTGGAGTTGCGTGTGTATTGTGTCTCTACTCTTTTCTTGGTGCTTTCTTCGCGTTGTATAAGTTTGTGTGTGTGTGTGTGTGTTTGTGTGTGTGTGTGTGTGTGTGTGTGTGTGCGTGTGTGTGTGTGCGCGCGCACAATAATTTGAAAACAAATAATTAATCCTTGGCTCTCCGTTATTCTCTTTCGATTCTTGGTTTTTTTTCTAGGTATTTTCTTGGCGTTGTATGGGTGTGTGTGTGTGTACGTGCACAATAATTTGGCAACACTACATTTTTGAGATATCGTAATTTGCAGCGTCTGCGAAGAGACCGCTTGATTTGAGGATGGTGTTTGTAGGGTTTTTCATGTAATGAAGTGGCCGCAGTGGCGCCTCAATACTTATTTTTTCATCTTGAGAAGTGAATGATGTAAAGGATTAAAGATAGAGGCCGTTTTCTGGTTAATATTCACTGCTTACAGCAGATCCTATGTCTAATTTCGAACTCTGGATAGGGGATGCCTAATTGGCTGGACTATATACAGGAAGTGTTGTCCACATAAAGACTCTTTATAGTTGATTTCAAAGTTTGGACTCTGTACAGTGGATTTTGGACCAATGGACTCTATATAGGGGTGAAGCCAATTGGCTGGATTCCATACAGGGAGTGATGTCCATCTAAACTTTGAGCTCACAGTTGATTCCAAGTTTGGACTCTGTACAGTGGATTTTGGACCAATGGACTCTATATAGGGGTTGGACATCATATAGGGGCTGGACGCTCTACTGAGTCCAACATATAAATATATAATATAACATGTCACATAAGTGGGTATACCCAGGTTTCAACAGTGCTCAACACCACAGGGGCGGAGCGTAACCACAAAGGTCAAAAAGAATGGTTTCACCAATTATAGAAACATACGTTGTAACGCTGCGTTTCATGCACGTAGCTAAATTCTAAGGCAATCATCAGACAACGTTGTCTGATGATTGCCTTAGCATTTAGCTACGTGCACGTAGCTAAATTCTAAGGCAATCATCAGACAACGTTGTCGGATGATTGCCTTAGCATTTAGCTACGTGCATGAAACGCAGCGTTACAACGTAGGTTTCTATAATTGGTGAAACCATTCTTTTTGACCTTTGTGTAATATAACATGTCAGTTAACTTATTGCAATGAATAATGAACTTGCGGGATGAAAATTGACTCTGAAGTTCTATCCTCTGCTATATTTTACGCTCTGTGTAATACATTCAGTAAAAAAGGCTGTATATTATATTTATCATCCAATGCAACATGGTAAATGGGAATCAACGCATTCGAGAATAGAGAGTAGCGTGAATATTATTGGCAGGACTAGAGGACAGGGAGATTTTAAAAATGAACTGGGTAGTAGTGGCGGTAGTAGTATTTAATTTTTAACTTGAGTATACCAAACAGGCCTTTGGCCTACTTACAGGGTGCACAAGGAGAAATTATAAGCTGCTAGCGTGAAAAGCAGGCAAGAGTAGAAGCCAAGCAGTAGATGAATCCCATATGACCTATGGTCTACTTGCTCACAAGGGGGAAAGAAAGACGTTTTGATTCCACCTTGAGTGTCACGTGATGCAGCTGCCCAGCCAAACCGTTTGGATGAACATAAAAGTGAGTGTGAAGGGGAGCGTGGAATTCATGTTGCAAAACTCAAGTGCTCGGATCATACACAAAAACAGCATTACCATACAGGGGGGGGGGGGGGGGTATAGGCCAGTAATCAGATGAACGTGTTCTGGATGATATTAGTGTGAACAGCACGAAACCAAAGCACAGAACCTAGATAATAACATGATTACTATGAAACGAGGAAATGCAAGAGAGTTCTTGAAGAAGTGGCTTTAAGAGAACAGTAAATCAGGACAATACTCTGATTTTTCTTAGTGAAGTTGTGCTGGTACTTGACGCACTTTCTGCCGTTATAAAAACTCATCAGATGCAAGTAGACTGCATGCTTTTGCTGTCCAGAGCGCTAAGGCGGCTGTCCAGGGAATCAGTGCAACTTGCACTCGTTAGTTCTTCATCCACTGTGACTGACGACAGAAGCTTACGCTTGCTGGGTGTACGCTTGCTGGGTGTCGCATTGAGTGTTTCAAGTGTCAAAGTGACCTTTTTTTCATACGTATTACTGTGTTGTGATGTCTCGCTGGAAGAAGCCGGAATTGCGGATAGGGTTGGGGCAGCGGGTGTCTCCGGAAAATCACTATTTTCACTCGTTTGCAACCCCCAGCTCAAGGTTGTACCGCGACGCTGAAAGCCTTGAGTTGAACAAGGGGACGACTGCTGATACTGTTGCAAGGCCTCATGCTTGCTTCTGCAAATCCCATAGTCAAAGCAATACACAGACACACACATGGACACGAAATCCACGCACAACGGCAAGCATTCAAACATATCGGAAGGAAGAACACGCATAACATACGGAAGCAAGAACTCACATAATCTTCTTTGTAATTCCTCAATGATATGAAAACTGCCCCAAACCAAACAATATGATGCTAGAGTTCGACGAAATTTGTCACAAGGATCGACACTAAGGGAGGGTTGAAATCAACCCGGGGTGTGAGCTGCCTAAAAATTTGGTTAAACGTGTTTTTACAGATTCCTTCATACCTTACTGAGGGGGGGGGGGGGTATGATCAGTCAAGTTTCTTTTACTCAATCATTTCCGAAAGAAAAGGTGACAGCACCGATGCATATTCCCTGTATTTACCCATGATGAGAAGGGAACGAAAACGTTCGGTTATGGAATTGGCTTACTTGACTGTGTGGATTGCGTCGGTGCTGTCAACTTTTCTTTCGAAATTGGATACGTCTCCAATTTTTTCCTTTAATCAATTCCCATTTTCATTTTAACATAGCACAGTGGTCTTTCTATGTGCTGAGTGACGTCCAATCATCTTGCCGGTTACCTTAATGATGCAGGGAGTGGGAACTGAACCTATGTCACATGTCACCTGACAAGCCAAGCCATTCTTAATAGACGCTGACCAACTCCAGTCCGTTTCAAAAAGATTCACAATCCTGGCGATCGCCCGCGGAGTTCGGCGTCTTACCATATGAGCACTCGAGCGCTGCCTGGAAAAACTCACTGTGAACTCGAAGAAATATTCCGCGCGAAAGCAGGAAAAAAGACAACTCACTCACGTTGACACAGTCATGTACGTCTGGTTTACAACGAACGAGTTCTTCCTCGTATCGATAATGGACGGTCAGAGAGGACATGCCGAAACGAAAGTGTTGTACATGTTGACGAGCTGCATGGGTCCGTTTTGTGACCAAAATAGTTTCTTCGAGCTGTGATGCAATTTACTCACCGTGTGACGAAAACGACATCGACACGGACTCATTCCCAAAGCCATGACTTGGCAAAGCTATCCGTGTGACTTCGACGACATTTTGAGAAAAGCAGACGCTTGTAAACGCTGATAGAAGACGGCGTTGCCTGCTAAATTCAAATAAATAATTATTAATTGGCGATCTTGAAACACTAAAATAAATCTCAAAAAGCTACAGCGCGATGACTTCCATTATAATTCACTCACACCATTGCAGTGTTGTGGGTGTGTTCACATGGCGTGAGCCAGTCAAGTGTCATTCAGTTCGGCAGGAAGCGCGAGCCCCAACAACAAGTCGTTTGGTGCAGCCATCTTCTTTGTCTTGTACCAGCTTGATCACCAAAACAATGAAAAAAAAGTTTGATTTGAGGATAGGTTGGGATTTGAACTCACAACTTCATGGTCAGCAGACAGCATTCATAACCACAAGGCCAAAAAGGAAGGGATAAATCGTGGGTTTTGATAAAAAATCGATACTGGCTTCCTGGGCAAATTGTAAACCATGGGAAAAGGCCGGAAACCTGGCCGAAATGCTAACTCCTTAACGGTTGGTCCAATTGTTCCGAAACCTTCACAGAACAATTTGCCGTGTCCTAACAAGCCATTCTATGTACTTTGTTGTCCAAATTTCCCTTATCTTCATACTTGTTAAGACCCAAACCTGATTGTAAATCTTTTTTAAACAGACTATAAAACAGGTTTCAACAGGTCGCGATTCATCGGCTTTTCCTTGGCGCCTTGAAATCTTTGCAAGTGCGTTCAGGTAAGCTTGTTTCTATGCCACCTAAGGTGACTGCTTTCCCTGGAAAGCTTCCAGGAGACACAAAGGCATCCCAACATGGCTTTAAGCCGGATCTTCTTTGCGGTTGCTGTTGTTGTTATTGTTGTTGTTGTTGTTGTTGTTGTTGTTGTTGTTGTTGTTGTTGTTGGTGGTGGTGGTGTGGATGCTGTTGTTATTGTTGTTGTAAACGGACCATATCTCGTCATCCGGCCCAAAAACGTGACTTTCCATTGTTGTAAAGCTGACTACGGCTCATAGTACTCTTGGAAACGGTTTCAACATTAAAAGACAAGACCCGTAGTGCGCAAGTGAGGGATTAAACCATGAACTTCAGCCTTGTCTATAAAACGAAATGGGGTTTATTTTCCACACATGGAACTTCGCTCTCGTCCCTGGAACCATAATTAACTACGTGCCATGGGTCGGGGATGGGTTGCTGCTTGTGAACTGTACTCCTATCCATCTACACCCATCACTCCCCAGGATAAATATACTTCAGGAACTGAGGACACGTGATGGCAGTGTATTTACCAGTAGTAGTGACTATCGTGCATATTCAGTGATATCGGTATTTTAATGATTCCTCGTATTGGCATCACAAAGCAAACTTGGCCAATCTTTGCATTAGGGAAATGGACAAACTAAATGGTAGTGTAAGCTACAAAAAAAAGAGATTAGAAGCTTTGTGACAACTCTGAGTTTCACGTATTACAATGATCAACAGGCAACTGTAGTGATACTTGAAACTCAGAGTTGTGACAAAGCTTCCAATCTCTCTCTTGTGTACAAGGCTATGCCCTACATGGGTACTGAGCAATCTTCAGACAGTGAAGCACACCACTTGACAAGTGTAAACTACATGAAGACATCACTGACCTATAAGCAGTCGACCCTTGTTGAGAGCTGCGACGACGGCGGAATATCAGAACGGCTGCAATCCCGGCAATAACTAGCAGACCACTGACTACGCCACCAACCCAGGCATAGTTTGCATTGCCCAATTGTTTACCGTTGGGTGGTTTTGCTGTGGATATCCCGTTTGCTGCATGGGTTGTGGTTTGACCAGCTGTCAGTCGGGTGAGAGATGCTGTGGCAGCAGCCAGTCACAAAGAGAGACAATAAGACTAGCATGAAATACTACACTGTCTATAGAGCAGGGAGTGATGCATTCTTGCAGGTTTGCAAGAAAGTCGAAGGTTCAATGGACTTCTCATGTGCTCTGAATGGCAGTCGTGAGTCAGTCAAGTGTCTAGTTTAAGTCGGCCGAATACCGCGAGCTCCAGTGTGGGGATCAAACCCTTTTCATTATTAACACTAGCATGGTTGCACTATTATAGGCAGAAGTGATGGCGAGACACCTTGAAATTGCATTTACAGTAAAAATCCCACAAGGAAGGCGGGTGGGGAAGGGGGGGGGGGGGGGGGGGGGAGGGGATTGTGGTGCGAAGACCATGCTGGGTACCAGAGGGTGGATTTGCACATGCAAAACAAGTCATGCTCCCTTGATGTACTCCAGGCTAAGGTTTGCCGGCGACTCCTGAGGTCTGCGAAAATTGACTTTGACAACTTTGAATCAAAATCTAATTTGAATAGATTGTGTCACTTGGAATCCCTGCAATTTCGCCGTAACTTCATTTCGCTGGTTGTTTTAGTCAAGTACATCAATTTCCACCCAGACTATCTCTCTCGCTTTGCGATTACCATCTCACGTAGTGCCCGTAGGCCCAAAAAGCTCATTTTTAACTCACACTGCCGAGTTCGACTGTACTGGTATCCCTTTGATGTGGTATCCCATCGATTTACATGTACACTGCTTGTTCTTTCACTGGTTTTTTTTGTACAGCATCTCTCTGTTTCCGAACTCATTTTGCCTTTTTTTACCTTTTTCCCAACTCCAATGTTCATTGTATATACACAAACAGGAGATCCCCCCCCCCCAATAGGCGTCAGCCTTTGGGTAATCCTGAAATAAGGATTATAATACTTGATTGTACACGAGACTGTGTTCATTGCGTACTCACTAACGTTTGTAACATGTGATCGAGTCCACCAATTGAACTAGATTTTGAACAGCCCGACACGCACAATCTACAATCTACAAGTAGCACAAAACTGACTTGGAGCACTGAGACATTCCGCGACATGAAAGCCAGCTTGAGCACTGCTCAGATTGAATACAGTCCCTATGGGTTTAAGCCCAGGCTGCACAGAGCACATTTTAATAGTCTACCACAAGCACATGTATGACGAGATAGCAGTTGTCTGAGGATTGCCGTTGCTTTTGCTACTGTGTTATCATTATAAGAGTATCTCGAAGGACCTATCTGATATGATGTTTTTGCTGGATCCTTGGCCTACAGCGTGAAGAGAACGTGAACACATCCAGATGGCTCCTTCACCTGGAGAGCTTTGCCATCAAGGAGAGCTCTTGGGGCATTGATATGTCGCAGTCATCCAAACTCGTCATTTATCGTCACCTTTACACCGAAGACAAGTTTTGACGGCATTTCACAAAAAAAAGAAACCTTTACTACACAGAGTGAGAATTTCTCGCAAGTTTCTCTCATTGTGTGAGCCCAACTAGAGTAAAGAATCATTAGTTAGTAGAATCTGTGACACGATATGCACAGTAAATGTTGATAGGCTGGCACACTTTGTTATCACTGTCATCTTATTAGGATACAATGATACCCGTTTTGCTCACCTAGACAACTGGGTGTTAGTATAGTACCGTCGCCTGCACATGTTGATGTTCTCACTCCACTCAGTGTGTAGCCAGTATTGCAGGTGTAGGTTACTGATTCTTGATATCTGATCATCCCTGTTTGGCTAGATATCCCGTTGCTGATAGCTGGTACATGGCAGGTCACAGCTAGAAAACAGTACATGGAACGTTATGCTAATAGCTCATAAAACGGCAATGGCCTAAGCAAGCAAAATGACTGTATGTGTCTATTATCGCTTAAATGACAGGGCCATTTCCAACTACCCCCCCACCCCCCCCCCCCTCCCCCGCATAGATTTACCAACACTGTGGATAATAGTCATACTGTAGCTCAGTTGGTTAGAGCATTGCTCGCGAATAGCAAGGTCTCTGCTTCGAGTCCCGGTGGTGTGACTGACGATTTTTTCTTTCTTTCATGTCTGGCTTGCAAGTGTTGAGTTTCGGAGAGAAAAGAGCAGTACGTGGCATGTGGCCTCTAATTTCCTAAAAACTTTGAAATTCTCCGTGAAGTCCAAATTTGAAATTGAAAACATTATCACTCTTTTATTATTGACCACCACAGAAACTTGTGATCTCTAAGGGCCGGGTTCCACTGCCTCTCCGCTGCTCGTCTTTCGCGGCTTGAAACGTCATCATTACCATAGTGACCGAGTGTCAGTGGAACCGCGCTGCTCCGCTGCATGTAGCCAAGTGCCGAGGAGCAGCGTAGCCGGGATGGAACCGGCCCTAAGCGGTCAAATATCAGCATATTATATTGACCGCTTATATTGACCACTTATCATTGACCACTAATAGCCCGAGGACTTAGAACTTTTTCCTAAAAACAGTGATAATGTTTATTATTTTTTAATCACTGCTTTCTTTTCATGACAACTCTATTTGAATCTCTTGATTGAAATAAGCTATTGCCAACTAACCACAATCTGGAAGTTTGGCACCGTTTACAAATGCAATTGTTTTCATTTTTTTGTGTTGTGCTCCAATCGTTCACCATGCCACCATGAATTGTATTCTGTTTGCCCATAAAAATTGTTTGATCGACAATTTGGCAGGTAGGACACATGAATACATGTCTGAGTTCTCATCTCCTTGCAACCATGGCAACCCTTACGGTCCCGCCAGATCTTCTCGTGTACGTGAATGTATTCTAGTAAAATAGCGAGACTTGGTGCTTGTGCTCATCAGGGGGAAGGGGGGGGGTGTCTTTGTTCGTTGATGATGGCAACCCTATGTTCGTTGGGATGGCAACATAACATTTTTTAGCTATGTTAGTGCTCCTTCTGTTTAATATCTGGTTCGCGTCAACAGTGAGAATGTTTCTTTTTAATATTCTGTGGCACAACGTCTATATCTCTTTTATCTGGGGGGAGGGGGAGGGGCGAGGGGGGGGGGAGGGGCGGGGGGGGGGGGGGAGGTAGTTGGAAATGGCCCTGTCATTGAAGCGTCAAGATATCCAGTTCCCTTCTTTGTTGAGTTTCCTTCGCCAAGGGTGTTTGGAGAGCTCCACCATGTTGACCTTTGCCAAGCATCACATGCTGTCCACAAACCATACATTGCCTCACAAGAAATGGCTTTCTAGGTAAGATACAACAACAATGAAATGAAATTCCGCAACGACAAAGCCACACAAGCATGGATGTGCCCATGCCTCGGTGGAAACAAATAACTAAGAACCAGGAAAGCATTTTTTGGCCTTCTAATCGATTTGAAAGAAGCCAAGAACAGTTGCCCAAAGCACATAACTAGAACGCTTTGACACGAGTAGCATCCCTGCCTTAGCAACACAACTTCACACAGAGGCATACTTTCTCAAACGCTATGAAATGTATGAATGAAGCAGACATCACATCCCCTTTTTCGTGAACTTGTGACTCCAGTTCCGTAGTTCCCACTGAGGACGGAAATCGATTATGGACATAAGAACACCCGACCATTTACATAATGTCAAACAAGAATGGAACCTTCGGAAAGGATCAATGTGCCCAGAAAAAACTGGTTTCATTTTCGACAGCATTGCCATCTACCATTTCGACAATGAGGTTCTGCTTTTGAGCCAAATGGGCATTCCCAGCCCAAATGCTTCTGAAATACTATAGTGCTAAAATACTTTGCAGTTGTGTGCAATGTGACCATGAAAATCTTAACTTGATATTTTGACCCTCGAGTATATTGCAATGCTCCTGGAATTCTTCGCTGACTCCCACCACCCCCCCCCCCTCTCCCCTCTCCCCAAGTACCTTACGTGCGGTGGGCTCACCCCTGCCACATCAGGTCAACATCGCAGTCATCCATCATCATCATTTCTCTCCTTTCTCTCTATGTGTGAGCCCAGCTCTAGTCAGTAGTAGATGCGACACGATATGCACAGCAAATGTTGATAGGCTGGCACACTTTATTATCACTGTCATCTGATTAGGATACATTGATACATGTTTGCTCACCTAGACCTAGACAACTGGGTGATAGTATAGTACCATCAGCTGCACATGTTGATGTTCTCACTCCACTCAGTGTGTACCCGGTATTGCAGGTGTAGGTTACAGATTCTTGATATCTGATCATCCCTGCTTGGCTAGATGTCCCATTGCTGATAGTTGGTACCTGGCAGGTCACAGCTAGAAAACAGTGAAGTAAAGCGGCGTGGAGACGATATTTTGATGATAGCAATGAATAAAATTCCGTGGTCATGATACGTACACAACAAAGAAATCTCAAAAGAGGTGTAACCAAAATCAATTTTCTTTTCACTACTTGGTTGATATCTGTATGCGGAAAATATAGAATGACATCATTATGACTGTAGATTGTTTGTTTGTATTCTTTATTTAGAGTGGGAAGTCCAAAACAGGCCCTAGCCTAATAACAATGGTCCCACGAGTGAGGGAATACTGTATATCTGTGCATAAGGATCAGTGAGTGTAACAGCAACTAGTAGGGAAAGAAAAAGAGAGAAGAAAAACAACTCAAAACAGGAGTTGCGACTTGCATAGGGAGAAAATAACGTATAGATGACATCATTAAGATTTTGAATGTGCTACACAGTAGCAAGAGAAATAGAGCGTGCAACTCCGCAGCTAGTCTGATCCACGGCAAAATGTTTTTATTTAGTCTGATCCACGGCAAAATGTTTTTATTTGCTGATGTCACCTTTACCAGGACGCACGACGTGCATCGCACAAAGCACACGCAGAGCATACGCTGAGCGGCAAGGTTCCAGCGGCAAGGTTTCAGCGGCAAGGTTCCAGCGGCAAGGTTCCAGTGGCAAGGTTCCAGCGGCAAGGTTCCAGCGGCAAGGTTTCAGCGGCCACACACTGCCTCCCACAGTATTACTCATGATCTCGAAAAAAGGGCCAACGGGTCAAACCCAACGGAGCTGCAAAACAACGGGTCAAACCCTGCGGAGATGCAAAACACTTTCGCTGACATTTCCATTGGCCCTGATCTGAAAGGCTATGTGACTTCCTCAACATGTGCTAGCGACCGGGCAGAAACGGAGGACAAACACACAAGGATGTGTGTGTGTGTGTGTGTGTGAGAGAGAGAGAGAGAGCGAGAGAGAGAGAGAGAGAAAGAGAGAAAGAGAGAGAGAGAGCAAGAGAGGGCAAGAGAGCGAGAGAGAGAATGCGGAAACTTACCATGGCAACCTCCACGTGCGCTAATACCCGGTCCCTGGAATCCACGCTTACAACCACACGTATAGCTTCCTCTGGTGTTGGTGCAGGTTGCATATGTATGGTCACAGTCATTCAACTGAGCATCTTGACACTCGTCCACATCTGCAGAAATACATACCAATCAAAAGAGTAACCTTCCTTGAGAGACAGCAGCAATGAACACAACAATACACCACAACAGCTGACTTAATGTTTCGTGCCGAAACCAAAGTCGGCGGAGTGGTGGTGAGATTTCAGACAAGTATTTATTGGTAAAAAAAGACTGCCTTCCTCTTCTCCCAACTCTTTGAAATTGTACTAGTAGAGGGTATGCTCACAGAAGTGGACAATGGTAGGAAGAATACGGTTGTCACGCAGAGCTTCATGGCACATCGGACAAGGCTCTGCCTGCTTCATGTGTGGAGCACTGTCGCAGGTCAAACTGCCACCTGTGCTTGGCATACAACTAGTACAACACATCATAAGAGTACAAATATTGCGACTGGGTCAGCACAGTGCCCAGATGCATAGCCCGTATGGGCACGGGGGGGGGGGGGGGGGGGGGGCAAATGCACGCCCCTAAAAGGTTCGACCTAGGTTCAGCATGCACATAATGCCCAGGATGACATGCACCAACCATCCTAGGGGACATGTATGATACAGCTGCCGTGCACCCCCCCCCCCCCCCACAAAGAGGGGACCAGCTACGTCCCTGTCGCCCACATCTACTTACCGACACAGCTTAAAAAAAATGGTAAAGAGAAAAGGACCACACACACAGTTTTATTGAGAAAAGGACCTATAATAAAATTAAATAAATATGATATCCGTAAAAAAACTTACCGACACAGCTGTTGTTTCCAGTACCAGTATATCCCACTGCACAAGGACAGTGATATGAGGCAAGCTGATCCTGGCAAGTGCTGATTGTGGGTGCGCACACCGCAACACCCTCCGCACACTCGTCCGTTTGCACACAGGACAAGTTTGAAGAACCGCCGTCGCGGAAACCGCTTGCGCATGCTCCGCATCGGTAGCCCAGCGATGGGGCGGGTTCGTCCGAGCATTGCCGCAGTCCACCGCAGGGCTGCAACAGGCAAGCGTCGATGTCGCTCTCGCAAATACGGCCAGTTTGACCTGAACCAGAACAAACGAGCAGAAGAAATCAAGTAAGCGAACAATGACAAGTACAGTAAAAACATGCAAAGGCGCCCACCTGTCCAGGAAGACCACCTGTCCATGAAGACCACCTGTCCAGGAAGACCACCTGTCCAGGAAGACCACCTGTCCAGGAAGACCACCTGTCCAGGAAGACCACCTGTCCAGGAAGACCACCTGTCCAGGAAGACCACCTGTCCAGGAAGACCACCTGTCCAGGAAGACCACCTGTCCAGGAAGACAACCTGTCCAGGAAGACCACCTGTTTAGGAAGACCACCTGTTTAGGAAGACCACCTGTCCAGGAAGACCACCTGTCCAGGAAGACCACCTGTCCAGGAAGACCACTGAAACCCGGACTAAGGGATGCTATTTCCAGTCAAATGACCCTGGATAAGGAGACCACCTGGTAACAGAGATTACATTTTGAAGGTCCCTTATGCGGTCGTCTTAGACATGTTTCTCTTTAAAGCAGGGGTGAAGGAGGGGTTGTGGAAGTGGTACGACCGAAGGTGGGCGTGGTGGAAGGCCATTTTGGAGGGGGTCCAGGGGACCTCCCCCGGGTATTTTTTTTAAAAAAGATACAAAATCCTGCATTCTGGGACTCGACTGTGCAGTCCAGTCGAGTACAGTACGAGTACAACTGCAGATGCATGGCAGATCTGCGAGTACAAGTCTAGAAAAAGGTCAAAGTCTGATGGGCATATGCATTGATAGATCCTGATTTTTTTATTAAGGTTTTGCACGTTCCGGATGGACCACACTTTTCGAAAAGTGGTACGGCCATGGTCGTACCAGTCCTAGCGGGTGCTACGGCCCTGGTAAAGTGTAACATATCAACTAACGCAGCTCAAGTCATTCGTGGACTTCTGTGGTAAAGCACTCACTTACATTGTCGCATACTTCACAAACTACATTTGTTTCAATGTAGCCAAGTTGTAACCTAGGTTGAGCTATGGACCTTATTCAATAAACGTCACAATCACGTGAACCGGGGTCCCGGGAACCAGGGAGTGGCAAGAGACCTGCACTCAGTGCACAGTGGACTTGGCGTGGGAACACAGGAGTAGAAAATACCGGTATTTTACTACTCCCTTGTACGACCTGGGTCTTTCTTGCCACTCGTTTCACGTACACGTGCCCCAGGTTACGACAAATCCCTGGAGGCGAGTCCAAAGATCACGTTATCGAATAAGGTCTATAGTTTAAGTGTTGGTCTGTACACTGTATCGTGGTTAGTAAAAAAGAACATCATAAAAAGACCATTACAGGTTCCTACCGTATGTCAGCCCCACCTTTAAAGCCATGGCCTTATATTCAAAACACCGCTGCTTTCCTAGCTATTTTAGATGCAATATGACTCACCCACTATGCCATGCCATAAAAGTAAAAGTCCACACAGAAATTTCAGTCTAAATCCACTTGTTCACCCCTCCAGCCGGGCTGTAAGTTTGTTAGTATAGTACTTATTCCTTCATTTTTACAAAACAAACTTCAAATGTCATTATTTTCATTTATGAAGCCCATGGCTTTATAATCGAATATACCTCCAAGGCTTTAAAAGTGGGAACATACGGTAATAAGGCGGCATGGAGACAAGAAACCCAACAAACCCAATATCGACAAAAAATAAAGTGAGCGCACTCATGCCACGACACCAATGGAAAAATATGAAAAAATCCTCTTAAAAATCCTTTCATGTTTTTCCGTTGGTATCGTGGAATGAGTGTGCTCACTTTATTATTATCGATATAGCAGGTTCTAGGAATTATTGTAATATCCTATACTTATTGCTACGTAAAATTTCCGCCTTGCTAATTCTGCTCAATACTATCATAAAACTTAAAACTTTCCTTTATGAAGTTGATTGCTCCAACTAGTTCAAACTTTCCTTTGTTGACCATGTATAATAACAAAGCACCCGGATTGACGTCATCTCTCACCTGGCAAGCATGCAGTACATGTAAGTAGAGTGAAGGGTGTTGAGACAGCAGTGCTGGCTGGTGCAGCGCTGCACTCTCCAAAGCAGCTGCAGAGGGTGATTGGCACGGTGACGATGGAAGTCTGGTTGGCCGAGTCAACGGCACGCACGCGTAGCACAATACTGCTGCTCGGCTGGCGCTGGCTGGGAGTCCAGCTAAGCACCAATCCAGACTGCGGGGAGTACGCCGACACCAGATCACCAGGGACAATTCCGCTGGAGGTTGCCACTTCGATAACCGAGATTTTAAGAGTGAGCGTAGCAGCAGCACGAACAGTCACATTGCTGGTTACATTGAAGTTAGCATTGAGGACATCAGTAGACAATGTTATCAGTGGTGGACTGCGAGCTGAAAGAAAACAAGTCATGGCACACAAGTCGAGTTAATCGTATTCTTGTGCAAGCTGACGGGAAGGTCAGACTTCAATTCAAGCCCGAGCAATATAGCTTGCAGCCTATATCATCATATCTTCTGAAAATTGTAGTCCAGTTGTTGTCTGATGAACAGATAAAACCGCGAAACAGCAGAAATGCTTTTGATTCCTTTCAAGTGTGTGTCAAAACAATTTTTATATATGTATGTTGACACAAAACAGCCTGAAGTTCAATCTTGAAGTTGGATCCGTAGTGAACACAAGCATCTTCACGGGGTACAGGCTATCAAACAAGGGAGTCGCGGTGCTACTACTATCCATAACGCCTCAAAAACGCATTCTGATCCTTATGCACAGAGTACACAACACGATAGTTCTGGAAAGCTTCACGTTGTTGCACTGTGACAAAATAGTGTGCATGTTCACGTGTACATACTGTTAGAATACATTAATCTTTCAGTGAGAGTCTAGGCGTACGGTTAGGTGAGAAGGCAGACATGCCGGTGTATCTGGTGAAGTAAATAAAATAAAAAACAACAACAACAAGACCCAAGCGCACAAGAGTGTGTGTCCATACCCAAGGCAATGGAGGATTGCTGAAGAGCTTTCTCCGTCACGAGGGTAGATGCGGCCAGTGTGGTGCTGCCAGTTGCAATGAAGTCGGCCAGGCAAGCGAAGTCTCCATCGCAAGTGGCGTTTGCCTCGCTGCTGATATTCAGCACGTTGACAACAGCCTGGTTGGGCACAACGCCAGCTGGATTGTATGTTGCGTAGTTGGTGTTGTCATCGTAGGAGAACACATGTTGGTCTGGCTGAACTTGCACTGTTTGTTATGACAGACAGACAGACAGACACAGATGGACACAGACAGACAGACAGATAGACAGACAGACAGACATACAGATATACAGACCAACACACAGACATACGTGCGCAGATACAGCGTCAGTGCACGAGACAGATGCAAACAAGAATGCACAATTGACAATGGGCAGCTGCCCATTTCCGGATATGCGTCAATTTTCATGATGCAACCAGCTCTATGCTGCATCCATTCTCTAGGCACAAGATTGAAAAATGGAAAAATGGAATAAGAAAAGTGAATTTGAAGCCAGGGATTTCTGGGACACAAAATCGAAATGAATGGCGGGGTACACTTGGACAATGTGCCCACAAGGCGGACAGAATGGAGCCGACCTGCCCATTGTGAATCTGAATTTGGTGCGAAAATGACTGATTAGAAGTTGCACGACTTGGTGAAAACCCCTCAGAACATAGGATACCGTTAGGACAGCATTTCAAGGCCAGCTAGTAGTACAGTTTTTAAAACTCCGGAAAATAACTTACGAGTTGCCGCTGCAGCCAGAACACTTGCCGAGTTGCTCAGATCAACGCTGGGACGAGACATGTTGAGAAGACCGTCCACGGTGGAGAAGGGATCATGCGCCACTGTGCAACGAACACATACAAACATCAATTCACATCTTGAAATGCACGTGAAGGCATGCACCCATGCACCGTGTGCTGGCGTAAGTACAACCGAGGCCCGAGGACACGAGGTGAGGGCAGCTAAGCGCTGAAATCTCCACAACTCTGAATTCGCCAGAATGAAAAACAGGCATGCACCAGAAACATCAATAAATACCGTGGTGTCTTGTATTAAAGCCTGGCTCGTATGGAAGCCTGTTTTGAATACAAGCCGGATTTTCAAGATACACTGGCAGATAAGCCTGATTTTAGTGTTGACACGCCGCACAGGAATACATGTACCAGGTTTGAATAGATGCCTAACTCTGACATCGGCTTCTACAGGCTTAAGCCCGGCTTTAATAGGCGACGTGACGGTCATCAAACTCAATAACAGCCATACTGTAAAGCGACAAACTTTCGCGGCGTGCAAATTTAGCGTTTTCATAAATTGGGCTGGTTCACGATGAGAAACTTTCGCGATTCGATCTCTTCAGTTGGATCTTGTACTGTCTATAATCAATGTAAAGAGGTTTGTGGCGATTTATATTCGCGAATGTGTGATTGTCGCGAAAATAGCGAAATTTAATCTCTAGCGAAAGTTTCTCACTTTACAGTATACACTGCTATCAGACATGCTCTACCAGAATTTTTTCTTGTTACATTGCAGTGGATTGCAGTAGCAACCAACCTTGGAAGGCCAAGAAGAGGACAGGTGCTTGCTGAACGGAGACTTGCACACTGCTTGAGCCGTACGACGTCACAAGACTGCCGCTGTGCAGTCTGAAATAGGTATGGTTGCCGGCGCGGATACTCTGCACCAGCTGATCATCTCCGACAATGGCAAGGGTGTTGTTGCTGTATGCAAACACCTCCACGCTCAGAGTCTGCTGTAACCTGCTGATCCCTGTGGTGAGCCAAAGAACACGCAGCACACCAACAAGCAGATGTTAATGGGATCTTGCTCAGCGAACATGCGTGAACATCAAGAGATCTCAGGGTGGCCAGCCGCTTCATACAGTGTTATCCTAAGTTTTAATCTCGTCCTACAGTCCATTCATCAGCGGAAACTGTCCCGCTGGCTTTTGCAAGTCCGATTTGGGCCGAATTGAGGATCAAAAACCCACTTTAAATCTCAAAATCTGGGTTTGGGATCTGTTCCTCCATACATTTTGCTATGGTATACCTGTCCCAATTTTGTAAAACCTGGCTGAGTTTCTATTTCCCTGTTCTTCCACTTTTCTGGCCTCAAATGTGGCTTGGAGTAATTGCACAGGTCACACAATGCAGGATGTACTGTTGTTTTCACAATATCTACAACTATGTGCAGGAGACACCAAAAAGTTAGGGTGCCAGTTTCCAATGAATTGACTGTAGGCACCAACATTTCCCTTATTTTTGAACTTGAGAACTCGTACTTGCATGCTGTGTAGCTGTGTGAGAAAATAGCCAGCTTTATGAGCAAGAAACCGAATGAGGCGTGATGGCCTATGCCCAAGTTGGCCGAAATCTGGTCAGGCCCAATTCATGCAGCACTTTACTGTGCTCTTCACCAAATCAATGTCAGAAATTGCTATTTAGTGACACAGCATGCACACATACAAACACAAACACACACACACACGCGCGCACACACAGACAGGCAGACACACACACATACGCACACGGAGAAAAACATTGATCAGCTTACAGAGGTTGATGGCTACGCGGGTGATAGACGTGAAGCTGAAAGCATTAACCGGGGCCACTTCCAGCCTGGTGAAAACGGAGAAATTGTACGCCGCTGGTGTTGCAAACTTTGCCATCAGGTACTCGCCAATGCCATGGAAATCAAAGTTCTCACCCTTGAAGTTGGTCAAGTGAGGGTCACCAAATCCAGAAGCTGTGGACAAAGTGGACAGAGCAGATCACATGGGATTAATGTGTAGCAGGTAGCAACCAAACATTTCCAAAACTTCAGTTTGTGTTTGATAGTATGTCATTACATCGAACTATGCGTACATGCTTACAAATGTTCAGCCGCTGCAGTTCGCCCCGGAACCAATCCCGTAACCAAAACTTAGCCCTGAACACAAACGGTATTGCGTTGTATGAAGTAGGGAAATAGATCACAGTCTTAGGCTGCCTCCAGCCGAGTTTCATGCAAACCGTGAATTTGTTTAGTCTACAAAGAGAGTGAAGCAACAGCAGCAGCAGCAGCAGCAGCAGCAGTTCATCGTTACCTTGAGACAGTGCCACTCTGGTTGTGGTTGCTCTGGGCGAGCGGCGCTTGCCAAAGAACTCGTTCAGAACGTCTCCCTGCTGGCAGTAGGCCAGGATGGAAGCATCGATGACTTGGTATGTTTCGTACGCCTGAAGGGCACCACTATCAACCAGAAGTCCGTCACTGCCATAGCAGCAGACCTGACAACACAAAGCGCAAACACACACACACAAAACAAACATGGGTTGTAAGCAGGAAACACACGATACTCACCCTTTAGACAGGGGCCGGGGGTAACTAATTCAGCAAGCACAGCCGGGCACAGGCAATACACTTGATCATTTTGCGAGAACTGTGGCAATAGGCCCAGTGAGAAGGTAGATGTTGCCTTTGCTTCTAGTGAAGTAAAATAAACCTAAACAAAGAAACAACACAATAGGACCAGCAGTACCAAGATACAACGCAAGGCAAGCAGGCAGCTAGCTCACGCATGGCTTACCGAAGAAGCCTGGTAGCGTGATCCATTGGAGACCGGGGTTGACCTGTAGCAGAGATAGCTGCCAGTCACTGCGGGCTGTGGCTCAAAGATGCCGAGTACAGAGGTTGTTGCACGCTCTACCGGGCACTGGAGGAGATTGGTGGTGGACTGGAGGTAGGACGGAGTCTCCGCGAGGGCACGGCATTTCTTGATGCCGCGCAGACGCTGGCTGCAGCCCGGTGTTAGCCTGGTGACTAGCTGACGTGCTACACTGGCTGGGCTGAAGTAGCTCTCGATGTTGCCATTTGCCGGACGCCATGCAGCCACCACAGCCTTGGGGTTACCCAGCCAGCTGACACCATACTTGGGGTAGAAGAACAGGGCAAACGTCTGACACTCGTCACCAATAATGGCTGCCTGGAATGTGTTGCGCTGAAGCGGAAACAGGACAAAAATATAGACAGTAACATTACTTTCGTCATGCACACACACACACGCACACACACGTACACACACACACACACACTTACACACACACACACACTTACACACACACACACACACACTTACACACACACACACTTACACACACACACACACTTACACACACGCACACACACACATCTTGACCTTGACAAACAGCTGCCGTTAAACGGCTAAGCTGCCCTGATGAGGAGGGAAACAATGGGGTAGCATCACGGCGTCGCGGCAGAACATCCGGCCTCATGCCGCTGCAGATCCTGCTGTCTGCGATATCTCTCGCCGCACGCACAGCAGAACTTGAACTCAAGACGCTCCCTTGCTGTTGGTCACCTGCCACGCGCGCAATTGTGCCGTTTAAATCCAGCAGCAGATCGAAAGCACCGGTTACATGACAGGCAGTGGAATGGGCAACAATACACACACACACACACCTCAGACCTCAGACATGCCCATCGCGGAAGCGATGATAGCGAACAGCTATGTTAGACATTGCAACTTGTGCTGGGATTACACCATTCAACAGCTTGCAAGGCTGATGAATTGACCGCCACTATTTTTAGCCTGGTATCCACCACAAACTGTTTGAAGTGACTTTTTCTGGCCAGTGAATCCCTATTTTTCATTTTTCCATTTTTTTTCTACACACACACCACACCACATACTCCAGCATACACTGACTGTTGGTAACCACCCAGGAGAATGAAAGAAAAGTCAGGAAGAGTCTGAGAAAGAGAAGAAAGACACAAGACACACACACACGCACTTACACACACACACACACACACACACACACACACACACACACACACACACACACACACACACACACACACACACACACACACGCACGCACATACACACACGCACATACACACACACACACACACACACACATACACACAAACGCACGCACACACACACACACACACATGCACACACACACACACACACACACACACACACACACACACACACACACACACACACACACACACACACACACATACACACATACACACACACACACATACACACAAACATATACACACAGACACACCTACACAACGGTTCTCCAGCACTTATCCAAAGTAATGACTGATGGGACACGCTATAAACCAGCACGCACGAGAGTGTACGGTCAAAATAGCTCAAGATGTAGGCTCAAAATCCCAGTTCCAATTTGGCCGGAAATGGGATTCGGATCAGCACATCTGCAGTCATCAGTGCTAAATCTGGCGACGAACTCAGTTATGGTGCCCATTTCGTAGAAATTGCAAGAGCATTCCATACTGCATGGTGACCATCAACCCATTACGGCTGAACGGCAAAATCATCTCATCATTGTCTGAATGGGATGCGAGACTTACTCTGTCGTGTGTGTCATTCTCGCGCATCTCACGCCAGGTCGTGACGACCGCCTCGCTGGGTGTGAACTCTTCACTGCCAATGGAGGACGCCCTCACTGCCTTAAGGATCTTCGAGAAGGTGGCTGCGTCGGTGCTGTTGCTCACAACATGGCTAGTCACCGTACCTGAATTGCAACGGCTGGCTGTAGCAGTGTTAGTCCACAGCGGTGCCACCAGAGCAATACTGTCAGTCACACGGTCAATACGGTTGTAACCGCCCGTGAAGCCGGCCAGCGACACGAATCCGTTCCTCGACACCTGTGTCATTGACACATGAACACACACACACACATACACACAAGCAAAATGCGTATAACATAGCATCGACAAACATACCCGCAATATGTCCTCCAACACAATCTGTGTTGGAGGACACAGCAGGGGCTCAATGCAGGGGCTCAATGTTCAACAACAGAAGGAGCTATTCTACCCATTTGTCTCCTGCAATGATGCCTGTGCCTTTCCAACAAGCCTGCAGGGCTTTCTGATCTAAGGATTTATGACAACTTCAAGTGTAGCTGCTGCATTCTTGACTATGTCTGCTACCAAAGTGCAGAGATCACAGCGCAGTACAGTAATCAAGGCAACATCCAGCCCAACCAATCCCAAGCCAATCCAAGGCAAGCACCGCTGCTGCCCTGCACATACATAAATTAGCACACTAAGTACGGTGGTGGCCAGAGAAATACGGCTCACGATTCTTTTAAAAATAGCGCCACGCTTCCATTTCAATTACATAACATGATCGCGGCACGCTCCAAAAACCGATCCGAGGGCTGTAGGGCTCCGCACGAGCCTTGGCGCTGCTTTTGGCACGCGGGTCGGATTTCTTTGGCCACGACTGTATTTTTTGTCAAAAGTGTGAAGACTCCACTGTAGCCATCCACGATACCCATACATCTTCACAACACTCTCCAAACGGTCTCTGCCCTACACCTATAGCTAAAAGAGAAAAGGAGACCATCATTCGACTGTATTTGAAGTAGTTTGTATAGAGTATAGAACTCCATGGTCTTACCGTAACGTTGCTGTACTCTGCATAGCTGGATCCAAAGACCACCGGGTAGGTGAAAGAGAACGAATCCCCGCTGACCTGAGTATCCGCAAGCGGTGTCA